TGTCCTTCTACAAACTAATCCAGTTTAACATCCAACTAATGTAAGCACATATAATCACATTAAGGTGAAAAACAAAACAAAAAGACATTGTTTCAAAGCTGTAAGAGTATGAAATTTGAAACTAAAGAGATATTATACTTTTTGTTATAAGTGTTGATGCAATGAAAATGATTACTTCTTTCATATCCTTATTCTAAAAGATCAGAATATGTTACTTTCAGATTCTTATCATAAAAGTGACACTTTCGTGGTTTTCTCTATCCAAGGGAGCAGCAACTGGAAAAATTATTACTACAGGGAATGAGCTCACTGGCAATCTGATTCGCGTTCGAATCTCCATCCCACCAAGCATGCTCGCCCTTTCAGCTGTGAAGGGGGGGGGGGGGCGTTATAATGTGACGGTCAATCCCACTATTCGTTGGTAAAAGAGTAGCCCAAGAGTTGGCGGTGGGTGGTGATGACTAGCTGCCTTCCCTCTAGTCTTACACTGCTAAATTAGGGGCGGCTAGCGCAGATAGCCCTCGTGTAGCTTTGTGCGAAATTAAAATCAAACGAACAAACCTTTCAGGAACACGTGTTATTTCGTTGTATTTGACTACTTTCGCTACTTTTCTTCGGTGATTACTTTTCAATGCACGAGTTTGCTTACCTCTTCTGCGATTAATCTTCTCTGAACTTAATTTACCATCATGGACATAACCACATCTTTTACAAGCATCATAGCCTTCAATTTGGCATTTTCCAACTTTGCATTTACATTATAATGGTGCCATAGTGCTATAAATCACTTATTTATCTGTTATGTGGACACTTTTAAAGCAGTTTTTGGAAGAAATTATGGCTTGTAATTTCATCACTTTTCGGAACAAAAATGGGGGAACTCAACCACTTCAAGGTCTTGTTTTGTAGGATTACACGTGCCAAGTTGGTAAAGTAGCTATTTTCGACGTTGCTAATGGACAAAAAAAAAGTGTTTTCAAAAGCTTTTATCCAATTACTCTTTAAAGTTCGAATATTAGATATACTCCTCAGACATAGAATGGGTGTTAATAATGTTAATATATATATTTCAATCTATCCTCAATATGTGCGAGTGTTGTTTCAGCACAAAACTAGAAAATGGGCTATCTGCTTTCCGTTCACCACGGAAAATCAAACCTCGGATTTTAGTGTTGTAAGTCCATAAACTTAATGCTGGCCTACTGGGGACACTTACTAATCACCAATGTTTTAAACATTATTCTTCAATTTACATTCTATTATCACTATGCGTTGTTCTTTTCCCCGTAAATTCCATTTAAATACCTAATTTGCATTTTTATCAGACCATTTGTAATTTCCTCATGGTGGATCACTTGCGAGTTTGAGGCTTTATAATGCTAAAAATCAGGTATCAATAGACAGAGCACAGATAGTACATTATGTAGATTTGTGCTAAAAACTATAACTAAAAAATATAGGTAAATGATGACGTCACCTTTGTGACCCTTCAATAAGTGTTATGAGGTTTTATTGTTGCAGTTTGATTCGTGGTACCTTGTTTTATTTTTAGTTTTGTTTTCCTTGCTGCCTAATTTAAAGGAGTTTCGGTAGCACGTTTTCTCGCGATAACACTTGCACATTCAGTTTATTATTACTGAAAGTAGTTTCAAATAATTAGTTTTGTATATATATATTGTTACGTCTCTGTTCGTTTGATAATTTCCCTTAAAAAGTCTTCCCGAGAAACTTCAGCAATACAAGTCTTTTCTTAAATAAAACTAGTTTATTCTTTCTCAATTCAACTTTGCAATACACTTAATCTCCACAGTCAGTTTAATTTAAACACACGCTATAATTCACAACGAACGATTCACGCACTTTACTTACGACTTGACTGATTATCTGTCTCTATCTCTTCAATCTGCAATTATTCATATCTATGCCGTCAGTTCTCGCCGGTCTAATATATATACGAAATAGAGAGCGTCTGGAGAACACTCAAGGCTTCACGAACGGACATGATCTTTCTAGAATCTCATGACGTGTTACTAGCGTCACGTAACTTCCGCTGTCGTAACAATATATATATGTGTGTGTATGTGTGTGTGTGTATTTTGTTTATTTAAAATAGACTAAAAATGAAAATTTGTTTTTGAATATGAGATCTTTACCTTGGCGGTGACAATCCAGGCCTAAAAAGTATGCCAGGTCTCCGGCACTATAGAATTTAGTACTATACTACCAGTAATTACATTAATTGTATGTGGTTGAATAGGAGTAAAATATGTTGTTATTGATGTTGTGACAATAATAGAAATTTTTGGAGAAAGTACTGGTGATCCAGTATAGAAGATGTTTTGATTTCAGAGAGAGGAGAGATTTGTAAGAACAAAAACTAGTAAAGTTGAGGAAGCCTTACACATGGGATCATTACAAATTTACTAATGACAAGGGGAGAGGGAAAAAGTGACAGACTGTCAAAGATGAGAAAATATGTTTTTGAAGGTAAGATAAATAAAGAGGAATTTGCTGGAAAGATTACTAAAATGCTTCCCCTAGTGGCTCAGTGGTAAGTCTGAAAGTTTATAATGCTACAAGCAGGGCTTTGCTACAAGTGGTTGGTACAGCATAGATAGCCCATTGTGTAGCTTTGTGCTTAACAACAAACAAACTAAACTAAAATGCTATATTCCCCAGCATTAAAGAAGCAATAAAAGAGAAGTAAGTCAGATACAGAACAAATGGAATCAAATGCGAATAAAAAGATGTAGAAAAAAATCAAATAAATTTTACAAGAAGTTAAGCATAAAAAATAGAATGAAGAAAAACAATTGGATGATTTGCAAGTATCTTTAGAACAGTTTAGGGACAATAGAACGACAGAAAATATGCTATTTAAATAAAAAAATTGAGGATTTAAAAAAAGAGTTAATAAGATCTAAAAAAAGAGATAGGTAACTCAAAAAATAGTAAAAGAAAACAGAATTTGGTATTAAAAATGATGGAAAGAAAACTAGTAAAAAGCCGTAAGAAAGGTAAACAATTTATAAAGAAGGCATATGGATTTGTTTCATTGGGAATTGCTTGAGCACGTTGAATAGGAATGTAGCCTAGACCTATGATAGTAAAACATGCACAAGAAAAACAAGTAGAAAATTTAACAAGCAGGAAGGAATTTTAGAGGTAAAGAAGTCTTTATTGAAGAGGATTGATTACACAGTGCAATACACAGAGGAATAAGTAAAAAACTGTGTGAAATGGCTAAAGAAAGAGGGGAAAAGAAAGTGAGTGTAAAATATGATAAAGTAATAATTGAAGGCTAATATATTGAATGGGATGAAAGCCATTCAGAAGTGGGAGTGAAAGAAATTGTGAAGAACAAGAAATACTGTTGAAGAGAAGAAATGGAAAAGATCGTAAGAAAAAAAAGATGGTGTGATGATCAGAAAACCAAATCTATAAAATAGGTCTCGCTCTGGTTATAAATATGCGTCCAAAATGTAGTTCCAGTTAGATAGATCTAGACTGCGTGATTGTGATTGGTGATTTTAAAGTGAAATTATCACAGTTTGTATTGTAATAACAGAGTAGAGAAGAATAATTCGTCTCGTCAAATTGTGTTCTATAGTAACTGAACCAGCCTATGTGGATTTTGACGAAAAAGAGACAATTATTTAAAGCTCTGGATACAACTGTGGTAATCAGCAGTGTAACGAATATTTGTATATACATTTGATTTGTTTTAATATATTATTTTAAAACAAGTTGACTGTGTGCTGTTTGGTTATTGTTGAAATTTATCGCCAACAACTCACAGACACCTACTTAAACCCGACAAAGATATATGAATTGAACGTAGTGAATTTGAAAATAGAAATTTTCGTAAGATCTTAGGAATCTCGAAGCCGCGTCGAACAGAAGTTCAAATGGCATAGACCACTTAGGGTCAAGAAATCCAAGCTCTTAGCATGTGGAAAGATTTAAAATGATGTACGCGTCTCCCCATAGGAAGAACTTCGTTCGCTATTTAAAAAAAAACATTTTATTTATACTTTTCTGTTTCTTCTTTATATCTTGTTTCTTAGCAATTGTGGGATAAAAAAGTGTATTCACCTTGATCACTCCGTATTTTGCACTTCATATACTATTCATAATGAATAATAAGCCTGCAAATTTCAACTTCATAAAAGTTGTTTTGGTTATGATAACGGATTTTCCATAATTCAGCTACGCAAATTTCGA